TGTGGCGAACTTTACGTGATGAAGAGCTGTATCCTTACCATGATCAAAGGGTACAACATCTGGAACCAGGCGACCATACTCAGCGTATGGATTTCTGCCACTGGATAAAAGCTCATCCCGAACTGTTAAGCATCATTTTTTCAGTGCTGAGGCGTCGTTTACCCGGGACGTTGTAAATAATTTACGAAATATTCATACGTGGTCCCATAATAATCCACATGAGATAATGGAAACGAAATTCCAAAAGAGATTTTCCGTGAATGTACGTTTAATACAGTTATGTGGTCGGCTTATAGCGCAGTCAGCCATGTTACGTCAGCGCTTGCCAGTCATGTGTCATGTATAGTGCTTGGAAACCCTAAGGACAATTATGACATGGCGAGCGAGTATTTTGTACTTCAATTTTATGGCTTCATGTCACTCACAAGTTAGTTTGATGTTACGTACATTATTAACATTACAGAATCCACATATTCCTGCCAGTTTTAATATGTATTTTGTAATCAACAAGTGTGTAACACCGGTCAAAGTTTGACACTTCTCTGGCCATTATCTCCGTAACCGTTCAACTTTGGACATAGGCATACTTTAACATAAGGAACACCCTCCCGAAGTTTGGTCCATTCCTCCTGGGACACCCTGTATATATATATATATATATGTGGGGGTGCTGTTCCCCCCCCCTTTGTGTGTGTGTGTGTGTGTGTTTGTCACATATATTAGGGTGACTATTGGGATTTGGATTGGATATTGGGTATATTGACCACTTTAACACTCAACTCATAACTACAAGTAAGATGGCACTATCGCTGATCTACACACTTTACAGTGCACTGTTACACACACACTAGGGTTTTCAGTCTTCACTAGTCTTATTCTGGCAATTGATTTAAAACAGTCTCACTGTAATTACAGCACACATAAAGTCTTCTCTTCACAGGCTGACTTTCATCTCTCAACTGAACACATTGCCATCTCTTGTCAGTCATCTTTGACTGCTGTGTCAAGAGACTCCCTCAGTTATTATTTCACCTGGCCTGGGCTCCTTGTTATATAGCCACGGGGTGACCCCAACAGAAAACACCGTTTCCTAACAATTCCTCTATTGTTATAGAGGTGTATTTATCTTGCTGTTGCATAGAAATGGCAGTTCTTCTGTTGTTGCATGCATGTTCCTTTCCAAGGGAATCTGTTTACCAAGTCATTGCCTAGCAATGAACGTCTACTCTGGCTCCACTACTCCAGCTTTCAGGCATCATGTCACAATATATATATACAGTGCATACAATCAAGTGCGCGCCGCGGCTGCAATTTGCCGTGAGTCATACCACCGCAGAACGGATGCAGTCGCGGGGAGGAGTTGCAACTCCTGTACGCACTGTATATATATATATCTTTGTTGTGGAGATGTGTCTGGCAAGTAGAATTTTTGTCTGACACGTGAAATGAGTCAACATCTGTTGACCCCTGACTGTGCATGTGGTATTCATGGTGAGAACAAGGAAAGACCTACAGCATGTTGGCAGGAAATATTCACTGTCAGGGATTAGGATAGAGATCACAGCTGTTGCAGTTGATGTGTTATGAAACTCCTCACATCTCACTGCAGGGTCACTGCACTGCGTTGCCTGCAGTGAACAGGGAGAAGTGTACACATGGGGTGATAATGATGAAGGCCAGCTTGGTGACGGGACAACCAATGCTATTCAGAGACCAAGATTTGTAGTCGCATTGCAGGTAGGTTACATTTGCCAACATAAAAACATTAAGGAATATATACATAGCTTAACAATTCTGGCCATGTTATCTCAAAAACTGTAAGACATGGAGAATTGTAGGGCATGAAATGTATACTTCATTTTTCTCTTGAACTTTTGTTCAAAACATTTTTTTGCTCCAGTAAATGTTTAACAAGTTATGCTGGAGATGCTGTCAGAAATGCACATATGTCTTCATATAGAATATCCATTACTGTGGTCAACTTTTAACCAAAATCTGAATATACAATGGAACTTTCATTTGGTGTTCCTTGATTTATAGTCTTCCATCACTTAAAGTTAAAATTTAGTGATGTTATGTTAATAATGTTTGTGTTAAATTGCCCCAATTTTAAATTTTCCTTAGTGTAGTATTAAGATCTATCACTTTTTCATAATCAGGGGCTGAAAACCTATAAATCTATCAAAATGTCAAGATTGATTCTTTTCGTGATCACAGTGCTTTCTCATGTATACTGCATTTTGAGAAAGCAAAAGGGACTTCACTGTACTGAGAGACTCTGATATCATGTAGAGCCATTTATCACTTCATGAGTTACATTGTAGCTGCCTCAGCTAAGCCAGTAGGTTCATTTTTGCTATTTTTGGTTTTGAACACAACAGAAAGCTACAGACTTCCATTTACTCTGTATTCTCATTATGACAGATGTGTCTGATAATTCTTGGCTGGCAATTATTCTTATCCGTTGGTCATTTCATATCTATAATATAAAGCAGTGACCAGAAATCAAAAGATCACAGTATGTAATTAAGATATTTGTTCCTCAACATTGAAGACAAAGAAGATTACACAAGTGGCATGTGGTTCCGCCCATACTCTGGCATGGAGCACAAATAAACCTGTATCAGCTAGCCGTCTACCAGTCAGCACACCTTTAGAATATGACTTGGTTCGGGACTTCCCGCTGCCCACATTACGGAACCGTCTTGTTCTGCTGCACCACTTCTCAGAGCTCTTTTGTCCTGGTGTCGCCATGTTTCCGATAGATGGAGAAGGGAGCTTGGATAAATTGCGTGGAATACTTGTATCATCAACAAAAGAAGCTACTTTTAAAAAAGTGAGTATGTAATTTTAAAATTAATCATTGCACACAAACATTTTTTGTGTGTCTTATTGCTTTTTAGGCTATTTTTAATGCAGTGCAGGGTATTAGGAAAGTTTGGGTGCTTCTTGAGACTGTAAAGATAAAATTGTCCCTATGCCTAATTACGGACCATGTCATGAAGATCTACGGGGTAGTGGAGATTCAGCTCCATACATTCTTATCTTCAGCAGTAGATTCAGGTAACTAGGTGGCATCATGCCTCACCCACTGCACATCTGGAAAGAACCCCCTAGTATTCATTGGCTATGAGGCTAGGTGGGCCCCAGTGCTTAAGAGAAAAATCTCTTCCACAGCTGGGAATTGATTGCTGATTGCCTGATCGTCCAGCCCATAGTCTGGTCATTTCTGTTATGATGTTTCTGTGCAGTCTGTTTTATATTTCAACACAGTCACTTTGTGTAGCACTTGAAACACTAACATGTTTCTACATTCAACAGGTTGTGCAGGCCACAATGGTACGTGACCGACAGCATGGCCCAGTTATTGAACTGAACCGAATTCAAGTGAAGCGATCTCGCAGTAAAGGTGGCCTAGCAGGACCTGATGGAATCAAATCTGTGTTTGGACAGATGGTCACCAAAATGTCACTCCTCACCCAGGAGGCTCTATTCCTTCCTCATCGCGTGTGGAAAGTAAAATTCGTTGGTAAGAAAATATGTCACAGAACTGTCAGTGTCTGTATATCAAATGATGTGAGAGGTACATTTGTCCCTAATCTAGCACCACACATGAAGATGTATAGGGACTGGAGGTATAGTTGCATGCATTCTGGAAGTGAATGGTCGGCAGACCTGGCTGTTTTACCTTCGATGAAAGAGCTCCTGGTATTCATTGGATGGGAGGTTGATTGGATGCCACAGCCAGTCTGGATGCTGTGGAGAAAACCCCAGTTTCTGTACTCTAGTCGCTATATTGATTGAGCTATGTAGCATGTCTCATTATATGAGCGCTATACAGATCTTCTATATGATCATTATTTCTTCTGTTGACATCTCCACTTCTGTGTGTGTCATGAAGTTTCGCACAACATCCATGCCATAGGTGGAGGGGAGGAAGTGTTTGAATAGGGGCAACCTTGTGAGGGCTAAGTACAGTAGGAGTTAGACCCTGACACCTCCAGGGCAGCTGACATGGCCTGGTTGGAACCCTAAATATGGATGGCTGATCTGTGACAGAGCCGGTCACAGCAGCTGAGCGGTCTAAGGCATGTACTGTCTTCGCTTGCTTGGAAACCAGGATCACGGGTTCGAATCCCACTCAGGGCAAGGATGTTTACTTTGTGTGTGCGCGTTTTTCTGTGTTTGTGTACAGGTAGAGGCCTTGCGACGAGCTGGTCACCTGCCCAAGGAGTCGTACTGAATGTGTAAGATCTAGAAAAACAGAAGTGAGCGGAGAAGTTCATGGAGGTAGGCCTAGGCCCACTGGGGCTGTAGTGCCAAGGAAAAAAAAAATCTGTGACAGGTCTGGCAAGATGATAGTGAATTTTGAACCTACTTTCATATAATATCCTTACTGAAGGTTTTTGCATGGTTAATGTACCTGAAATTACATCATGACAACCTGCTTATGAATCATTTCCAATTAATTTTTACCGATCATTTGGTGCTGTGTGGTGGACTAAGTAATGGGCATTGTTAAATAGAAAGAAATGAAGGGTACAGTCCTCTGGATTCTAACACTTCGTAATTCTGAGACAGCTCAACGTTTTGAAGTAACACATGGCTTCCATATTCAGAGTTGAAGAGTAGGCCAAGGAAGAAACCGGAAGAAGCAGGTGGCAGGCTGAGCCTTACCTTAGCCTAGCTTAGTTTGCAGCCTGCTTCTGCCAGTTTACTCCTTGGCTTACTCTTCAGTCCTGAAGGTGGAGTCAGTGTGGTCCTCTGAAAAGTTGGGCTGTCTCCAAACTACATTGCATTGCAACCCAGACAATATATTCACCACTGTCAGAATCTTAAATTCAACATACAAATAAATAAACAAATCGAACTTTTTTAAATATACAACATAGCCTTGGGATGAAGGCTTTTATGCAGGAAAATATGTTTGTGTCAGATGTGTGTTGTAGTTAATGTGTGTAGGCGAGTTGAGTTACTGGTTTAATAATTCGGATTTAGTTAGTGATGGTCTGATAGTGACCTGCTTTCAGAGATTGCCCAAAACAATCAGTTTGTAATATTCAGATGCTCTTAAAGATATATATATTTGCTTTGTATAGTGTTCATAGGAAAACCAAACAAAATCTTTATAAGGGATCAAGAAAAACAGACAATCTTAGGAAACTGAAATTAGTACGCACGTGTTAGAACTTAATACATATGTTAGGAATGTCGCAGTCATTCATAGATTTCAGCCGTCTCTGCTTTACAGAACTGATATGTCCTTGAAAATGTGTCAATATTGCCAAATTCTGTAATGTGACCCCCCCCCCATCCATGCCCATCATCACTAAATAAGGATACAGAAGGCTGTATGCTTTTAATTAAATTTGTTTCTTGTGTGTAGGAGAAAGTGTAGATGACTGTGGTGGGGGCTACAGTGAAAGCATCACAGAGATGTGTGACGAGCTGCAGAATGGCTCCCTTCCATTGCTGATACCTACACCTAACGGCAGAGATGATGCAGGAACCAATCGAGATTGCTTCTTACTCAATCCAATGGCCAAATCACCATTACACATGAACATGTTCAGGTTCCTAGGTAATGTTGCATGTCCATTATGTGCAATTTTATGATAACCAGTTAACTATTACAGCCTAGAAAGTAAAAATTTGATATGGTAGTACAAATTTTGTATTTAAAATTGTATTTATTGGTTTAAAATTACAGACATGCAATATTATAACAATTTTGTTACATCTCACAACTTTCAGGCTGTGAAAATATACAGTTATTGTGTTTCTGGACATATCCATCATCCTGTTTATTTGAAATGCACAACATTTTGGAGGCTGGGTTCTGTCTCCATCTTCAGATGAAACCTGCACATTTCTGACTAATCAAAAGAGGTGGTCCCTATCTCCTGACATAGCCAGCCGAATCTTAACATGTTCAAATTTCCTAAGCTTTGGATATATACCACATCCATACTGGTTAGGTAAGTAAGATCTAAAAGTTTGTGGATATTGCCCAGTAACACAGTAAGTGTATTAATATGGCATCATCACACAATTTTAGATCTTATGTGGAAATATACACTAGTGACCATTTTTGCACAGAAATTGATTGTTTAATTGTATCAGTACTGATTCATAATTTCTACTAGCCTGTCTGTTCAGATAAAATTATTGTATTTCATCTGACATCGGAATGAGGGTGTGTCATCATCAATTAATGACATGGACTATTATGTCATCAATACTAAGTTACAAGATTGTATTTTCAACATATTCTTGTTATTCATTTGCCACTGGGAAAATAAGATATACTTATGTGGGAATTTTCTTCCCTAAGGTTGCCTACACAAGGTATAACGTACCCAGGTTCTTAGAATAGATGTTTGCTGAGCTTGTCTCATAAACCAAATTGTTCTCTTCAGCACTTTGTTTCCAGGTACCCTCAATCATTGTTCCTCTGTCAGAGTGAAAGATCAAGTTTCACACCAAGTATGAAGTTAAAATAAAATAAAATAAATAAATACATAAATAAGTGAATAAATAAATGAATGAATGAATAAATAAATAAAGAAGAACTGTGAAGGTAAAAGATCACTTGGAAGACTAAACTATTGTAACATGTTTGGAGTAGATACTTCCATGGTAACGCAATAACAGTGAGCCGTTGCGTAGAGAAGGCTGAAACAAAAAAGCAGTGTTTCCCCAAAGATGGATAACAGAAGGCTCATTGCGTAACAACAGGAATGGAACCGTGAGGAATGGTGTCTGGTATCCAGTCTGCATAACGCCTATATAAGAAAGTTGGAAGCAGAGCTAGACAGACATGTGCGAACGAGACAGTTGGGATCCAGCCACGGCCAAGGACAATTGAGATGTTGCATTGAAGTAGAGGCAGTAGTTATGATACTGCAAGCAATAATAATTGTAAAGTGTGTGAGTGTAGGGGGAAGCACAATAAATATTCGCTACATCCTTGGAGACATGAAGTTATTTGTCGCGTGACATACCCAACACGTGACACTATAGATGGGAGAATGATATTAAAACGGATCTTAAAGAAATATGATGGCAAGGCGTGGACTGGATTCACATTGCAGGGACCAGTGGGGTCATGTGAACATATTACTGAACTTTTGAATACCATGAAAGGCAGGGAATTTTTTCCATTACTGAGGAGCTGTTAGCATCTCAAGAAGGACTGTGCAGCATTGTGCCAGTTGGTTGGAGGATATTCTTATATTGCAAGTTCTCATTACAGGTGTCCTGATGGGAATAGCCATAAGGACAGGGAGTCCACTAAGCCTGAATCTCGCTGAACCTGTGTGGAAGCAGTTGGCAGGCATGACTCTTACACCTGCTGATCTCACAGAAGTGGACCGGGACTATGTACCAGGTAAGTTGCTGGCTTCCCACCGTGGCAGCCCGGGTTTGATCCCGGGTCTGGTGAAGTGGGATTTGTGGTTCACAAAGTGGTGCTGGGGTGGGTTTTCTCCGAGTACTTCGGTTTCCTCTGCCAGTCTTCATTCCACCAAATTCTCCATCATCATAATCACCCGGGGCAGTACCTCAGGCCACTCAGTGGCCGCCATGCCAATTGGACCCAGCTGGACTCCACCCACCACTAAACAATTAAAAAAAATGTACCAGGTACACCATGCAATTCTGTCCAGTGCTGAAAACACAACAGACATATACTGTATATCCTTCACACACACACAACTCACTGGTGACATTTCATTTGAGTTGAGGCATTTGCTGTAATGGATAGGGAGTCGATAATCGTACCTAGACACTAACCTAACCCTTTTCACTTCATGTGCTGACTAGATTGGCTCAAGATGTTTCGTATTATAACTGCCACAGCTAAGGAGAACGGGTCATTTAGTACAACATTTCCCTCAGGAGGGGGCTTCAGGTGTGACATACCGGTGTTCAGAGGAGAGAGATTTTTCTGTATGACTATATTTACCACAGAGTGTCCTTTTTATTACTAGCAGTTAGGTCTGTGGTCAAACTTGGCATCCAGAAGGTTAAATAATGCTATGAAAAAGTGTTTCAAATCATCTGGATATCTTATATTGTGGTCCTCTGTGATATGATACTGTATTGTGTGCATACCAACATTTTGGACGAATGTACTGTATCCATCATCAGGGTAGAAGTCAAGACATGCAGTATGTTCCTCCAAAATGCTGTTCAATGTTAGGTTCTGTTTTATGTTTTTTATTGTGTTGTGATGTTGTATCTGTATTCCTGACCTTCCTGCGTAACTCCTGGTTTTGAAATCTACATCTTTCAACTCCCATACATTATCTTCAAACAGATGACCCAGTCTCATAACACACATTTTCCACATATCTGTAACCATGAGCATGTAGTCACTTGGGCTCTTAAGATGATTTATAACACTAGAATTTACAGTTTCCTTCAGAACTATTTCTTCTTGAAGGCCCCATCAGTTTTCATAAATAGCCAGTTAGATGTTTCTGACACATCTTTAAACAGTATACCTCCTCACCAGATGCAGGATACTGGTTTTTCATGGCTCCTCGCCTGCCCCCTGGCAGTTTCCACCTCCATAATCTGCAACATGCTATCCCATTTCTTTATTTCCAGTGCAGTATGGAGTGTCTCTTTTTCTTCCCAAGTTCCCTTTAATAGCAGAATAAGTAAAGACATTGTCTCTCAGTAGTTGGTTGAGGCATTATGCCACAGGCTGGAAGGTTGCGGGTTCAATTCCTGATATCATTGGGTTTTTCATTTGACTTGATCCTTCCAGCCACACTATGACCCTGGGGTCAACTCAGCCTCTAACAGAAATGAGTACAGGAATCTTCCTTGGGGTAAAAGTGCCAGCCAGCATGCAAGGCTGACAACCTCACCACCATCTGTGATCTCATTGTCTAGAAAATGGGGGAGCCTTATGGGTCTGCACGGCCTGTTACAAGGATAGCTTTACATTTTTACATTTACCTGTCAGTATCATTACTTTCATTTATCAGAATTCTACAATTCTTCATGTATCCTTTTCACTCAGTTACCGCTGTGTTAGTTTAATGTACATCTGCTTGCAAGTTAAGCGAAGAATTCAGTTCTTACTTTTAGTTTGGATTTTTGCAGGACTTCTATGCATTCGAGACATGGAACCAGATGCAAAGGTGTTCCAGACATTAGAAATGCCTTTTTCTACACCCTCGGCTTATGGGAATGAAGTACCCCTATCCACTCGATATCACCGCATCATGCCTGAAAACAGGCTTGAATATGTGCGACTTGCACTGAATTATAGGTAGGTCTTAAGCATGCAAAGAACATTGAAACCCACATTTAATGTCTGTAGCAAAGAATGGATTTTAGCACTAAACTTAAGTTTGCATGAGGATTCTACATTATACAGGCTGTGCCATAAGTTAGGCAGTTAGGTGCTGGCTTCTCATGGCAGAGGCTCTAGCTCAGTCAGAGGTGTTTCTTGTGAGGTACACGGCAGACAAAATGGCACTGGAGCCAGATTTTCTCCAAGTTTTTTGGGGGGGTTTTCCCCTGCTAATCATCATTCAACCATTGCTGATTTGCACACAGTGATGTGTGCAATAGCCCTGATCAGGCAGCACACTCTTTAATTTGGAACCTTCATCTCTTTGACCAGGCACTTAGCCAGTCACTGAATCAGGAAGCTGTTTTTTGTGTTTATCATATTCACTGTTCACTTTGAAACATGAAACAGAATTGCATTTTGGATTTGAGGTTCCTATGAAGTGTACAGTCATCTGAGTTGTAATAATATGTAGTTCAGAAGGAGTAGTTCAGGCTCTCTCCAAACTACATGACATTATAATAAAGAAGACCATACATTTCAGAATTATATGTTGTTCATATAAGAAAGAAATACTTCATTACTAAGGCGTAGATAATTTTACCTATATTTTCACAGTTATGAACTCTGTATGTAATGAATGATAGTTCAAATCTATCAGATGCAACAAGTTTAATATGAGAATGTAAAAGTTTTCCTTTACATGTTTTGTTCATTATAAAGTCTTGTTGTCTAAGTTCATGAACAAGACAGGCCTGTTTTTCTACTGCTGGTTGCAGTAGTTGGCCATATGTCCATCTGCATACAGAGGAAGTTATGGCAGTCCATCTTGTCCACATGTGGGATTTGAAGTTCTCGTGTTGGTGACTATGAAGATTACTGTCTTTCAAAATTTTGGGATGTTCTGATTCCATAACAGGAAATTTCTGATCTGTTAAATAACTGTCAGCTGCTGACAGAAGTGAAGTGAGTTAAATATGAAATTGTTCTGGCAAATCAGGGAACATGTTGCAACAGGAAATCTCATGTGTGATGTACAGGTAATGTACCCTTCCCTGTGTGTAGAACTGTGCATTAAAGAATGGAGTGTTAGCCAGGGAGGTGAAGAAGGCAGGCACTGTGTGTTTGCATGCCCTACTGAGGAACTCTGTAATGGGACTGTATCACCAGTAGTCACATAGGGTTCAGTCACCAGCTTGAGCAGGTCATTTAACCATTAAGAGACGGGCCATTTAAATTCCGGTAATGGCCGCGGGCCGGGGTTAATTTAAATGTCCGCCATTGTAGAGTAATAAAATTTGTAATCATGTTACTCAAAATGCTGTGATTTCTACAATTTTTGTGATAAACGAACAAAATAAACGCTGCTTTTATCTAGAAAGAATGTAGAATCAGATATTGTAATTTACATATTTTAGAATGTGTAAAAATTGTTACATTGATTCCAAAAATATTTTTCCCCAATTTTGAGCATCTGTCCACAAAAATGCATAAAGCTTCTGGCAATAGGAGAGGATGTTTACGTACTGCACATTCTCCATTCATGTTGGCTTCCTGTATACCCGAGTGTGGGCGAGTTCTTATCCTACTTTGACCTTATGAAACTCTGCTTGTTTATTCATGTATGTCAGACTATCCACACAGAGTTACTCTTCTTGGAATCCCCTCATTCCCCTTGCTTCCACATCCCTTCAAAATTGACTGTAACGCATTCTGAATGGTGTGATTTACGAGTGGCCTCTCAATTTCGGCTTCTTCAATGCGAAAAGGGGCCATGGTGCATAGTTTAAATTGCGATGTTTTATAAGCATTATGAATAGAGGAGACCACTCGCCATCATTGGCCTACTTCCTGCTAATACAAGACTGACATTGCGTGTGTGCGCTTCGCGTGGAAAACAGAGTTAATTATGGACAAAGTGCATGAATTGCGACGTCGGACTCTGCATTCAGTGACATGCATCATTCAGTTAGATGATGCAGGAGGGAAGACAGTCTACTTATAAAGCTGGTGTCCAAAAATAATGTAAGTAGAACAAGAATTTCTATCTTAAAATTAGATTTTAAAACACTGTGCCCACGCGCAGCCTGCTAGTCACCATACGGTGTCCTTCGGCCACTCGGCTTTACTTTAAAGGTCCCCATACGGTGTCTTTCGGCTCATAAAGGTTAAACATGTGTGTTATCAGAAGAGTTCTGGCGTCACCTGAATACTGGAGTGCTCTGTCTCCGCTTTTGGACAAAAATAAGATGATACTTTTTTCAGATTCCCCTTATTATGTTGCACTATCTCTGTGTAATTCTGTAGGATTACTTTACTTGCAAGTGTGAGCTTTCAGAATGTATTTTTCTCAAAGTCACATTTCAACTGTAGTTGATTCCTTAGCTTCAAACCAAATTTCCCAGAAATTTGTGTTGATGGACATGGTACACTCCAGTACTCTGATGAAAATATGTTTCTTCCATGATAAGACAACACTGCAGTACCTCAGTTGCAGTGCACTGTTGTCAGTTTGTCATGCAAGCAGTAGTAGAAGCCATACACGTATTGCAGAATCTGATTTGATTAAAGGGTTGAATTCTGAATGACCCACAACTGTTTGCAGTCTGTTGCTTGTCCTCTTCCAAGTGTTACCCCACTACCAGGGCCCACATATTTATTGGAGTGCAATGTATTGCTGAATGTAGCCTCATTTTACTTATTTGTCTTCATGAAATGACAATTTTAATTCAGATATACCTTCACAGTCATGTAGGATGTGAAACCACTCCCATTATATTGTTTGTAGTTAAGTTATCAGCAATGTGTCAAAGACTGGTGTGACAAGTTGACAGCATGTGAACAATTTAGGAGTAATGTTGTAGCTGGGAAGAGAAGGTGAAAATTTGTTTCCGCATTGTGGCAGAAACTTCTGGAATCTGCTGTACTCCTGTCTGGATTTTACCATTTTCAGGCTTCATGAGTTTGATGAGCAAGTGGCTGCAGTCCGGGAAGGTATGGCAAAAGTGATTCCAGTTCCACTGCTGTCCCTCTTCAGTGGCTACGAACTTGAAACCATGGTTTGCGGCTCTCCTGACATTCCCCTGAATCTTCTCAAGTCTGTGGCCACATACAAAGGTAAGGATTCTCAAATGGTTATGAGATTCACAGATTAAATGCAGATTTAAGTATGTCTTTCTTCTGTATAAGTAGTATTTTTCAGGTCCATTTAACAGCTAATTACTTTGCGATCTAGCCAGTGGTAGTTTTCTTTTATCCAATTCTTTCTTTAATTCTGGCAGGAAAACCTCAAGCAGTAAAGGGACAGCATAGATGGGAAGTGAATATTAAAAGGTATTTTTATGGAATACATCTAACCCTATGGAGTGGAGTCCTTAAAAAGAAGCTGAGAGTTGTTTAGGTGGTCAAGAAAGTTCCAACCTTATATGGAAATGAAAGGTTCATTATAACGTTCATAGGAAGGTCAGAAGGGCCATAACTTCACCCTATCCTGGGCCAGCTGACTCTATTCCACAACCTCACACCCTCTTACTTTTATAGAAAATTTAATGTTATCTTCACATTTATGTCTAGGTTTCCAGGTTTTCTGTCAAAAATTGTGTACCCATATCTCATGTTTTCCATTCATTCTTTATTGTTCTTTCCATGCCACATGACAAATATGTCGCCGTATATTAATAAACATTTTATTTAAACCAACTCATAGAATGCAGTCATGTTTTCTGTTCCTGATCTTTAACATTGTTTCAGGTATTGATGCAAATTCTTCACTTATTCAGTGGTTCTGGGATGTTATGGAGGAATTTACAAATCAAGAACGATCACTTTTCCTGCGTTTTGTGTGGGGTAGAACTCGCCTTCCTCGGACTATTGCAGACTTCAGAGGACGTGATTTTGTGCTTCAGGTCAGTATAATGTGTAAGACACACAGGAACTGGGTGAGTTATTGTGTGAAAGAAAGTGCTGTCTCTATCATCATGTGAACCCTTGAAAAGTGGTACCCTGCCTGCCCCAGGAGCTAAATTACATGTCACCAAGTCCCAGCTGTTGCTGTGCTACCTTATTTTTAGATCTTTGGTGTTTATCATTAAGTGAAATGCTTTCTTTGGTCAGAGCAAGACCACAAAAGAGTATGATGCTTCTGTCGGTAGCAAGACGAAGTACTAGCACTCTAAGCATGAATTTTAAAATGTCTCAGAGGCATGTACATCTGTGTCCTGGTTCAATTTGGTATGTAATTACCTGTCATAATGGATGCTGTGATTTTGTTGGCAAGTGTTTGTATCATCATTTTTTAAAGTCTATGTAGCTCTGTCATGACCAGACAGGATGATACAGCAATGAAGCTCTGTATTTTTATTTTGGAGGTGCTAAGTTTGAATCTTGGCTGGAACACTGGCCATCCTTACTGAGGTGTTTGTGGTTTTCCTCAGTCAGTCCAAGAAAATGTCTGGATATACTTCGATTAGTTGATGAACACTTCCGTCAGAATCCTTTCTGGTTCATAAGTCATCCTACCACCCACTTTTATACAAACTTCATCCTGAAAGCATCATTAAATAACTTACAAAACGAAACTAAGAATGAGGGCCACAAAGCTCATATGCAGGGCAGTAGCATATTAAGAACTTTTTTTTGTTCATTCATCAGTAATCTGTCAAGATGACAGGTCCACAGTCTCTTCCAAAACAGTTCCTCCACTTAATGCGATCTAGAACTTTCTCCTTCAAATGAGAATATCCTCTTCTGTCCCCAAGGTCATCCAGCATCTTCTTACGTCTTCTTCGTCTTCTGGTCACTTCTATCCGCCCCTCTATCTTTCCTTCAATAACTTCTTTTAGAAGGCAGTTACTGCGTAAGATATAACCAATCCACGTAGCCTTCCGTTTTCTTATTTCGTGTAGAATATTCCTCTGCTCACTGGCTCTAAATAACACTTTTTTTTTGTGTAACTAACAAAAGTTTGCAACTGCAGAGAAGGCTCATTTTTTGTTGCTGAGTTGGTTTATTATTGCTATCACAAGGATATTTTTTCAGTACCACTGGTTAACTGCTAAACATGAAAATTATAATAATAATGAATATTTTCAGCCTGATCTGATGCTACTACTGTGTCAATATTTTTTCCTCTAGCATTGTTTTCCATTTATGTGGGTCAGTGGATGAAATATCTCAAGTATTGTCCTCTTGACAAATTCTTGTCAGCTACTTCCTCTCTTCTTGATGTCTCCTAGTATCCGGCTAAACTGTCTTGCTCTGAGTCCTTCCATTCCACTCCCATCATTTGAATTTTAATTGTGTTCTCTCTCTCGGTGCCTTTGTTCAGTCATTCTTTTTACATAGCCAAACAATTGTAAGCTTTTCTCTTGTAGTAACATTTCAAATTCCAGTAATTAAATATACAGTTTGGCTAAACTGTGAAAGCTGAAGTTACATATTATGTCATTTATTATTTTTTCTAGGTTCTTGATAAGTACAACCCTCCTGACCATTTTCTACCAGAGAGTTATACATGTTTCTTCTTGCTGAAGATGCCAAGATACTCTTGTAAGGTAGGAATAATCCTCTGTACACCTAGCTGCATGTTCAAAGTAGGTGTTGCTTTTACGTATATTTTTTCTGATGCAGCCAAATCTCACTCAGCCACCAAAGTAGCTGTTTGACTATCAGGAGAGGATAATGGTTGTAAAGCATTTTTAAGCATATGATCAAACATGCACACTGTGTGCAATTCATCAGTATTATTTCAGATGTATTAAATTGGAATTTTTTTTGATAAAAATCATAAAGATGAACTTCTAAAGCAGGAATTTTTTTACACAGGATCTTTATATGCACAAAAAGCTAACATCCTTATGGGAGTTTTGACCGGACTTCAAAAATCTAACTTCTTACACAGGAAATCTTTGTATCTGGGAACTTCTTATCCAAGAGACACAGCAGCTGCAGCATTCAATTTCAATTTATTTCAAATTCAAAAACAGATCCAGATACAAGCTGGGAAACAACCATTGGATATAGAATGAGTCACAGATCAAAAAAACAAATATTCCATTCCCACAGGAACAAGTCAAGGCATTCATAATACAGGGTGCGGCAGCATAATTTGCTGATTTGAAGGGTCAATAAAACAAAAACTGTTATAGGTATCATTGTAATTATTTTTTCTCCATATTCTACAACATTGGAAATTTACGTTTACTCTGTTTTAAAAATTGTATCCAACAAGTGGTGCCCCCCATTAGCGATACACTGATTTGCCTGAATTCTGAAGTGTCTGTCGACTCTTTCCAGCACAGCGATGGGTATGTTGGCTATGGCCTGGCGAATATTCTCCTTCAGTTGAGCAAGGGTCCTTGGACGATCGGTGTACACGAGGGATTTCAGACACCCCCATAAGAAAGAGTCACAAGGGGCTATATTGGGTGAGCGCGCCGGCTACTGAAGATCGCCCCTCAAAGAAATCAGGCACCCGGGGAAGTGTTCCCACAAAACACGCATTGCAGTTTGCGCCGTGTGTGCCGTGGCTCCATCCTGCTGAAACCACACATCCCCAACATCCATTTCGTCAAGACTTGGCAAAAAAAATTCTTCGATCATTTTCACATAGCGAACAGAATTCACTGTAACTGCAACCTCCCTCTCTTCAAAAAATTAGGGACCAATAATCCCTACTCTCGACAGTGCATACCAAACAGTTACACATTCACAATGAAGGGGCCTCTCATGAAGTTCTCGGGGATTGTTATCACTCCAGTAGCGCATGTTTTGCTTGTTCACGCATCCAGAAAGATGGAAATGAACCTCGTCACTAAAGAACACAAGCGCATGATCAGGCAAAGTTTCAAGGAATGCTTCGCATGCATGTTGCCGAGCAGCAAAATCGCGTTCAGTGAGTTCTTGCACCACAGCCAACTTGTAAGTAAGGATGAAAGTGGAGGTCATCATGAAGAATTCGCCTCACAGAATGATCAGACATTCCAAGGGCAGCTGCATGCTTGCGTGCCGAGAGCCAAGGAGATCGCAAAAAAGACTGCCTTACCGCCTCGACGTTTTGGGGTGATCTGACTGGCCATTCCCCTGATCTTCTCTTTTCCACACTGCCAGTTCTCCTGAATGTTTGCCCACGTAACAATCGATTGCCAACCAGGAACACGAGCTCGGGTGGAAATACTGACGTGCACGCGGAATGCTCGCTGCGTGGTGACGATTGAGCGACCATTAGAAAAGTAAGCCTCTACGGCAAACGCGCGCTGTTCCTCCGTCCAACACATTCTCGGTACTGAAGTGGAAGGAAGAACAAACTTCCCGACCCACCCGTTCGAATGAGACCATCCCCGCCCTCTAACGGCCAAACCTCGCTTCCTGGTGCCAAATTCAAATCAGTAAATTATGCTGCTGCACCCTGTATAAAACAAATAAAAAAGAACATAACCATATATACAACAAAACTCCCCCAATTTTAGAAAAACAATGCAGAACCAAGACATCTTATTATAGAACTCTCAAAGGTTTCAGGTGTCAGTACAAGCTCTTTTTTCATTTTCATTACTCATCTATTATTTCATAAAAATCCAACACTTTAGGATGTGGAAAAGTCATATTAGATAAATAAGCAGTACAAAGAACTAAGTCAAGACATAAGAATAGAACCAGAATACAATTAATCTTACCGACTAGTATATACAAAAAATTCATCCACAGTATAAAATGGGTGACAACTCAAGAATTCTTTTAGTTTTAATTTAAACCGTTTAATATCTTTATATAATTGCTTCAAATTTAGTGGGAGACAATTGATGCCCATATAATATGAGCCTTTTTGATATAATGATAAATGAGTTGAGGGTTGATATAGATTTATGTTGAGTACCTGTCTAGTGTCTCTATTATGTATATGAGAGATAAAATAATATTGATGAATGCTGTCGACCACAAAAGATAGTAGTGAATAAATATACAAAGATGAAAGAGTAAGAATTTTTAGAGTAGAGAATATCACTTTACATGAGTTTCTATTAGCAACACCAGTTATTAGTCTCACATTTTCAGTAGTAATAGCAATAGCAGTGGGCTAAGTCATCTTACTTGTTCCTTTGTCACTTTTTCAGGCTGTGCTGAGAGAGAAACTAAAATATGCAATTCACTTCTGCAAATCAATTGACACTGATGAATATGCCAGAGTGGCAATGCCAGGAAGTGGTGCTGCATCTAGCAATTGTGACAGTGATGAACTGGACAGTATCGCCAGTGATGGTCCAGGATCGGTGTGAATGAAGATTTGAGGTATTCATGGAAGTGAAGATTCATATTTGGTCTTTTGTATTATGACACCATGTAGTCTGGTAGGTGGGTAAAAATGTATCAGAATATACTGTCAACATCTTCACTGGTACCCATCTACCAGTCTATAAGGTGTCATAATCCAGAAGACCAAATGTTAATGTGATTGATGGCTTTCATTATACAAGGACATTCAGATAGTATTGCATCTGTGCTTGTATGTGAATGAAATGGCACGTTCTCGAGCAGACAGGTGCCATTTCAGTCTAACGACATTCCCTAATGTAGCTGTGAGAATATGTTATAAATTTTCTGTAATTTAAATATATATATAGCTGTATAATTTTGATTGAAGAATAATGTTGATGTCTAATGAACTGTCAGAATAAAAATTTCAGATAACTGTTATAGCAGTGGTGAACATAAAGCTAAATTATGTGGAAAGAAGAAAGGCCCATACATTGTATCAACAAAAGCAACTTAACCCTTTCAGGACCATCCCCGAGAATATCTGTGTCTGTGTACAATCCTGCCATGACTTAAACATCCCTAACCTTATCTGCATGTCACATAGGAAGCCTGAGCTTGAGCAGAAGATTGTAGCAGCAGACAGAAGATCCATGTGATTCATTTGGAAAACAGAAGTTTTGGCAATGCACCTCGTAAATATGCGACTGTCAGCCAGTGCTGTTTCAAGGCAGACAGCACAAATGCTGCTACAGGGACACCAGCCATCCTGACTGAGATCTTTCGTGATTTCCCTCATTCCCTCCGGAAAAATTCTGAAATAGTACCTTGATTAGGCCATGACCACCTACTTCCAAATCCTTTACAATTTATCATCATCTATCATTCTACCATCCAGTGCAAATGGTCTGGAATACTTAATTATTATTAACAGAAAAGCGCACGAATGTGCATTACATAGATTCTGGGTTTTAGCCTTTGCTATAATCACACAGAGATTTATGGTTGTTTTTACATCTTGTGATGTGGTATACATCGCAGAACTGATCACATAACGAGCACACGCAGTTTTCGCTTGGGTCGTGATAAGACATGTTTTTTACATATTTTATGGTGGTACCCGTGCACTGCTAGTTTTATCACATGTCTTAGTCTCTGGTTGGCGTTGGTCCAGTTCCGGTTCAACATGGCATCCGTGCTGTAGAAATCTAGAGGTATTTCTTCTCTTTTCTTCCTTCTCTCTGCTAGGTGTGCTTCTACATTCTTTGTGGATGGCAGCTGTAGCTTTATCCTCAGCTCTTCGATGAGGAAGGGCTCCTGTGTCAATTCATATGTTAGGCGGGAGCGCGTGTATTTTGAAATGCCCATTATGGTTTTCAGGAATTTTGCTTTCACTCCCTCGATGTTGGCCAGATCTTTTTTTGACAGTTTTTCCCATATCAGGTGAATCCCGTAGGTGAGTATTGGTAGGATTTTTGTGTTGAATAGACTCATAGCTGTCTTTAAGGACAGATGCTGTAAATTGTTAATGTCGTACATGGCTTTCATGGCTGCCAGTGCTTTGTCTTTGATGTGTAATCTGAATGTCCCAGTAGTCTGTAAAGTGATTCCCAGGTATTTAAACGAATTTACTATTTCAACTTTGTCCTCCTCTTCATATTGTAGGTTGTCGTCTGCTGCTGTGCGTCCACCCTTCCTGAAGACCATCTGTTGGGTTTTTGCCCAGTTATTTTTAGACTGTTATTTCCTGCCCATTCTACCAGTGCTGAGAAGGCGTGTTGGAGTTCTTCCTTGTTTGGTGATCCTAGGACCATGTCGTCCGCATACATGTATATCACTGCATCTTTCGACTTTTCTCGTATTGCTGCTATTACATCCGCTGTGGCAATATTGAATAATATGGGGCTGAGGGGGTCCCCTTGTAGTACTCCGTTGGTTTGGGTGATTTCTTTTGTTTTGCAGATCGCATCATCTATGGTGATTTGGTTGTATGCCAGGATATTTTTTACTATGACAGTTAGTGGGTTTAGATTTCCGATCATATTTTGGAGTTTCGATATCAGTTTATTCCTATCTATTAGGTCGAAGGCTTTTGTATAGTCTATGAAGACTGCATAGAATTTTCCCTTTCGGAATCTCTGTGTTTCTTCTATGTCGTTTAGTAAGTTTTGTATTGCATGCAAGGTTCCTCTTCCTCTTCTAAAGCCAAATTGTTCCTCTAGTATCTTGGGGTTGACTTTTTCTATTATCCTGTTGGTTAGAATTCTTGTTAGCAACTTGAAGATGTTGCTTTCTAACGCAATTCCTCTGTACGAGTTAGGGTCGTTGGTTTCACCTTTCCCTTTGTAGAGGGTTTTAATTGTTGATTTCCTCCATTCTTCGGGGATGTTTCCTGATTCTAGGCATTTGTTAAATAGCTTGGACCATAGTTCTGCCAGGCATTGTGCCGATTCTTTTAGGTGTTCATTGTAAAACCCGTCTGGTCCAGCGGCCTTTTTACATTTTGTAATTTTGATGGCGTCCATCACTTCTATTTTAGTGATGGGGGATATGGCTTCAAGTTGATTGCTGCATTCAATTTCATACGCCACTTGTTGCCCTGTACTGTTAAGAATATTAGTGAAGTGTGTTTCCCACGTTCCTATTTCTACGTTGCTAGATCTTGATGTTCTTCTGGGTCTGATGGCTACATATGGATCATTTATTGCTTCTTCGGCGATTCTTTCACCTTCTTTTTCTATATATTGAGTATGTTTTTGTTTTAGAAGGTTCTTGTAATATCTCCGTTTTTCCCCATATACTCGTAGGTCTTCTGGTTCCAGCGTCATCTTGGCTATATGCAATGCATTTAATGCAGTTTGTCTCTCTGCATAGCACTCCTTATCGAACCATGGTTGTGCTTTCCTTGTGTTCTGTTTGTGGGTTATGCTTGTTTCTAACATTTTGTTGATTGTTGTTAGGGCTGTGTTTAGGTCGTTCTCCTTGATTCCCTGCTCCGCTTCGGTTGCTTTCCCTAGTTCTCTCTCTAATGCTGCTATGTTTATGTCTCTGGACATGGTGTTTTTGACATGTTTTGATATAGTTTTCTGTGGGGTTTTGAGTGAAAATTTGGTCTGGATGGGGATGTGTTTTCTTAATGGGGTTATTTGTGAAGTCCATAAGCCCTTTTGTTCTAGAGTTTCTATGTTGTCTCCTTTGTGGAATGCCAGGTCAATGGTGCTACTGCCATTATGGGCAAAGTAAGTTTTACGTGTTGGGTCATTTGTTATTTTGAAGTTTATATCCTTAAGGAATGCGAGGATAGCTTTACATTTCATATCGGGTTTGTCTATTCTGCAATTCATGTCTCCTGCTAGTATTATGCTTTCTTTCGGGTTCGTAACTTTTCGGAAGGAGAAGGTTAGGAGTTCCATTATGTCCTCTATTTCGGTGTTAGGGCGTATGTAAATGCCTATTATCGTGAATTTGGTCGCTTTTGCAATTATTAGGTTTTCTTCTGTACATAAGGTCTTCATGGGTCCTATCCGTGGTTTACAGAAGATAGATACCCCTCCTGATGGCCTTCCTTCTGCTGATTTCCTTGCTAGTGAGTGGATAGAGTAGAATCCTTCTATGTCGGTAGGTTTCATTAGGAATGTTTCTGTGAGAACTAATATGTCTGGTGTTTCCAGGGAGTTTCCTGGGTTTAATTTCAGTAGCCCTTTTAGTCCTCCCACATTCCATAGGAGCATGTTTATGGAGTTATTTGAGAGATATGCCTTCGTTCCTTCTGGAGAAGCGAAATCGCCGTACAATTACTCCTCTTGGCCAGAATTCAGGGTTGGATGTCATTTCCAGGTATCTGAAGGGGATTCCAACTTTATAAGCTTTGGTTTCTCCTCTCGTTATGGTCTCTTCGCAGGTGATGTTCCCTTGGATTCCTTTCTTTGTTAGGTAGTTTCCCACCTTTTCTGAAGTCGTTCCTTGCTTCAGCTTCCCAATACTTAAAGCATCAATAAATAACCATACTGGGTGAGAGGAATGTAGACAGAGCTGACACACCCACTTCATTATTTAGTCAAATACTGCTACAATAAACGCCAACGTATTGTGACATTCAGTGAGGTTAAGTATTATTTAAAGTTTCAGAGAGGTAATCAGTTATGTCAGTTATGTGGTGAATTTGCTGAGATATATGAATGCCTAGAATCACATGTAATTACAGTATTTTCACTCCAGTCCCTATACACAAATATTGGCATCGGTTGCTTCTGACTGGATGCAGTTACAATTTTGCTGAGCTTGCATTTGAGAACCGTCTTGTCCAAATAACATTCTCCCATGTAATCAGGTGTACTCTCATGGTTTTTCTACCTCTCAAGACAAAAATGTGTATAGCTTCATAACACATACCACTGCCGTGACTTGTCCCTAACCTGTAACAATACTTCTCATTATAATAGCTGTTGATTGTATATACTATAGACTATCGGCCATAGCTCGTGAAATAGTTACTTCGGCTACAAGATCGATACTTTATACTGTATATCTCTGTCTAGCTCTTTGTAGAGTTCTGTTCATTTTTGTCAAACCATTTCTATGACTAAATGTATGAGTATGACGACTCAGTAATCAACATTTCCCACTGTAAATAATTTAAATATATCGTATGTTTCTTTCTTTATATGTTACAATTAATGTTTCATGTTGGTAGCTCTGATCCATGGTAGCAGGAAACCGAAATATAACACGGCAGTGATATACGGATTTTCATAGACCCTTAGATAAAGATGGGTAGTTTTGTACCGTCCAAAGTTTTCCCTGCTTTGAATAAAATGCAAAATTGTTCAGGAACGTTGTTCCGGACACGTTTACAGTTACATTTAATTTCGAAATGACCATAAAATTCCCCATAATTTGTAGTAAATAATTAGAACTTTACTTCCTTTGAGTTAATTTCAAAGAGTTTTGTCAAATAAAAAGCCCCTTCTTTCAATTAATATTCTTTGGTTCTTGACGTCATTTTCAAGGTTAGAAGCCATTGGCATACATCTGAGCAAAAATCGTGTAACGTGTATAAATTTGCTATGTTTAATATTAGTCTCGTTATTAAAATTTGATTTTGAAGTTGAAGAGAAGTTGAAATTTAAATAGGGTGCTGTTCCCAAAAAGTGTAATGGATTCCGCGGAAGGTGAAAATGAAGGTAAATCAGCAAAATGCCCGTATTACTTTTAGCCTTAAGGCAAAAATTAATGGGAAATGGAAACATAAAAGCTGAGAAAGTGAAACTCTTCTCTTTTGTTTGCTGGCTAAACGCCTTGTTTTCAGGAAATAAATGTTTTAAATCTCTTTTGTTTCGTGTATATGGGTAAATCGCGCATGTTACGTATAACATGGTGGAAAGAAATTGTGATATACTACAAAATGAAAATATAGCCTCTTGTTATTAGTTATACATGAAGTGAACCAATAGTATACAAACTGCAATAATATATTTCGTGGTATGTGCAAAATATGCAGTGGATAGTGTGTGAATTCACCTTGTACTTTTGCTTTGCATATATAGCACTTTTTCGCCCAATTAATTTTAGAAAGTAGTGTTGTAATCAGTTTATAAGTATGTTTCTCACGTAACTGATTAAAAAGTGCATATATTTTATTCTGCCCCTAGACTTTGTATTCTCATGTTGGATATAAAATTTTCTTGAATACGCACCGTAGATGTAATACGTGAGCATGATTTATATGAAGCTTCAGTATTCAGGATCACTGAAGAATTTTTAATTTCCGGAAACGAAGTTTGGAGGATAATGTAACATTTTAAACAATGTCGGACAACGTGAACAAATGACTTCATATATATGTATGAGGCCAAGAGGCTGTCGTTGCTGTGACATACCATTTATGATGTAATCATTGATAAGTGTTTGGCATTGCCATGTTAGATTTGCTGTTTGACACAGTAATTGGGGGTTAATTACATAAAAGGGCCTATTGATTAAATACATCATGTGCTAGTGGAGCACACATCCATATGTATGCTCATACAGACAGACGACGGTCCAAAAAAATGCTTTCTCATATCCAGAGGAGCTGAAAATTGTAAATCTGGCAAAATCTTGAGATCATGTTTTTTTTTACAATCACAGTACTCCTTAAAAAGTTAAAGAAAGAGAACATGGCTGACTGGGAAACCAAGAAAACATAAGTGTTTATGCATTCCCCACTGAACCAATTTGGAAAATGTCTGGGGGTGTACTCATCTTGGAGAATAAAAGTATCATGCAGATGCCTGAAATATCAAATACATGTGTACAAATTCTACATTATAATTTTTCTTCACAGAATTTACCAAATGTATTTTTATGACAAGTATGAAACGTGTATATGAAATAACTTTATTACTGATTACTAAAGATTTACCTTTAACAGCCTAGCGACACTGTATGGGTACGAGCAGTCCACGTGTGCGCACAGTGTTTTAAAATCTAATTTTAAGATAGAAATTCTTATTCTACTTACATTATTTTTGGGCACCCGCTTTATAAGTAGACAGTCTTCCCTCCTGCATCATCTCACTGAATGCAGAGTCCGACATCGCAATTCATGCACTTTGTCCGGATGTAACTCTGTTTCCCATGTGAAGAGCACACACGACACCTCGGTCTCGTATTAGAGGAAGTCGACCAGTGATGTCGAGTGGCCTCCTCTAATTGTAATGCTTATAAAACATCACAATTTCAACTATCCACCATGGCCTCATTTTGCATGGAAGAAGCCGAAATTGAGAGGCAGCTGATAAATGACACTGATTCAGACTGCGGTACAGACGACTCTGAAAGTGGCGAGGAAGCAAGGGGCTAGGCTTGAACGTTCTGGCAATGCGTGGCTAGTCCGAGATATACACAGTCAGAGTTTCTGAAGGACAAAGTACGATAAGACTTCAACCACACTGGTGCATACAGAAAGGTTCTGACGTGACTGGAGAATGTGCAATACAAACATAAACTTCCACCCCTTTTGCCAGATAAGACATAGTAAGATGGGATGTCAGCAGCATGCATTTATACTGCAGAAACTGTATGCATATTTGTGGACAGACGCTTGAAATTGGGAAAATATTTTTTTTTGGAATCAATGTAACAATTTTTACAGATTTTAAAATCTGTAAATTACAATATCTGATTCTATATTCTTTCTAGATAAAAGCAGTGTTTATTTCATTCATTTATCACAAAAATTGTAGAATTCACAGCATTTTCAGTTACAATGGCAGGCATATAAATTAACTCTGGCCTGCTGCCATTGCCAGAATTTAAATGGCCCGTCTTTAAAGGTTAATATGTTTGTGTTACCGAATTACATAGTATGTACATAATCTGTTCAGCCACTTCCATTCTCGTGTAAATGTCCATGTATGCTCACTAAAGAACTTAATGGTAAAAGTTATAATAATTAATATATGGTTAAACCTGTTTTTGAATTTGTATGAGATTTTGCATTTTCATAACATTCAGTAGTTATATCATCTTCTGGGTTATGAGACTGTGCTGTGGTCTGATAGTATGTTAGCAGTGTTTCAGAGGACTGTATTGCCTCCATCTTAATTGTATGTATGCCCTGAAGATGGAGGTTATCCATTCCTCCAAAACACTGGTAAACACTTGTCAGACTGCATGGTGTCATAACCCAGTAGGCCATAGATGAACTTTCACTGCTGTGAAAATCTCAAATTTCATATCTTAAAATTTGTTTTAATTGCGGTAGTGAAACTCTGATTCAGGTTAGAACTGAATGTGCTGGAGGATTTACATGGTTCTGAAAGCTGATAGTCATCTTATATGTTTCATTACAGGAAGTCCTTGGGGTAACTGCAGTCCAGGTGTAGAAGAAGAAAGAAAGGCGGTTCATCAAAAGATAGAAAAGAAAAATAATGTCTTGCCATTATGGGGCAATGAAAGGACAATGAACCTAAACCCAATGATTTTGACAAACATACAGTCTTCCCATTATTTTAAAGGTGACAAGATTCAGATATATTATTTTGTAGATGCTCGTTAAAATGACTAGTAGTTAATGCCATGGTGAACAGCCTTCTTTGAAGCTAGATAATTGTTCAGCTGATCAGCAATTCTCTGTTTTATTCTTAATTTATCCTAATGAATCTAGGTAATATACAAGCTCTCCGTATAGAGACGTGAAATCCTGACAGGATTCTCAAAGCAAATGCCATGATATTGGCTCAGACCATGACTACTGAGCAAGCTGCCTTAAGTATTAATTCTTATGACTTGTATTTGAGAGGTGCTCTCTTTGAATGTCAGCCGAGACACTGATTGTCCTGACTGAGGTTCTTCACGGTTTTCCTGAGTCCCTCCAGGTAAATTTCAGGGTAGTGCATCAAATTAGGCTACAGCCACATCCTTCCAAACCCTTTCTAATCCATTATTTGTTTATTCCTTACCATGTTTGCAGTAGATGGTCACTGTGCAAGGAGCAAACAGGGCCTGCCCCTTATCCATTCGTATCCCCTGCTATTCCACTCTGTTTAGTGTGAGATACTGCTAGCATCATTAAATAAATATAAATACCTCATGTGAGCGGGGCGTGCTGTATCGTAGTTGGTTGAGACACTATGTTACATGCCAGAAGGTCACACGTTCAATTCCCGGTGATGTCATGGGATTTTTCAATTGACCTAATCCTTCCAGCCACACTGTGACCCTGGTTTCAACTCAGCCTCTAACAGAAATGAGTACCAGGAATCTTCCTGTGGGGTAATGGGCGGTCGGCACGTAAGGCTGACAACCTCACTGCAGTCTGCGAGCCGATTGTCTAGAAAATGTGGGAACCTCAATGTCTCACAACCCTATGGGCCTCCATGGCCTGTTACAGGGATAGCTTTAACTTTACCTTTTCCTTTACCTAAGTAAATAAAAAGTCCATGCCTGCTTCCTTCCCAGTTCAGTATCCACTGATCATCCAATCATCATGCAGTATATAGTTTGAGCTACTGACAACATCGTTAAATAAGAAATAGGTATTGTAAAAGAAACACGGAGATTGTGAATTTGGTGGTTATGTAATTTTTTCCTCCATTTCATACCATGTGTTTTCTGTAAATGTTGTATTTGGACCATTCACCTTTTTAATCATAATATATGTGAAGTCAGTACACTGAATATAATGTAATTGTATATGCAATTCACCAATATATATATTTTTTTTATAAATTTTATTTCAGTGAACTTATATGAACTGAAAACTTACCATGAGGTGATAGACGAGATTTACTACAAAGTGACACACCTGGAGCCTTGGGAAAAAGGAAGTCGGAAGACTGCTGGACAAACAGGCATGTGCGGGGGAGTAAGTGTCTTTGTAACTGAGATGTAGAAATGATAAAATACGTTAAAATGTTTCTAAGTTGAAACTAGATGACTGAATTGCTGTATTTCCTCTGTACGTCCTCACGGCATGCTAATCTGTTTCATGTCTTTCGGTCTCATTGTGTTATTACATAAGGTTAAGGTAATCAGGAAGGACTGCAGTTGAATGGGACGCATTATGGAAACAAAAACAGCAAAGCACAAAAGGTCCACTTAGCATTAGTAAGGATGTGGTCCTCACAAGAGATGCAGTAATTGAATGCTTCAGAGGTATACATTTATCTTTAGCTTATGTTAAATTTTGAATTCCTTTGCAGCCTTGTTTATAATGGAAGGATATTTATTTGTTGGTTTATTCAGTTGTAAACTTTGAGTTAAGAGGTGACAAGATAGTTGAGAAGAGTGGAGTATCAGGAATGTGAGGGCTGACACCTGGTTAAGGTACTGTTCCAACAATTTTCTGGAGGGCAGAGGAAGACCATAGAAATTCTTTTGTCAGGATAGCAGGTCAAGATTTGAATTTTGAACCTCCTGATAATAAACAGGAGTGCTAACTGGTACATGGCGGTATTCAGAGAGATGTAAAAATTTAAAAGATATCAGTTTGATTTTGTCTGCAGTATGGTCTAGTAATTGTACTAGCCTATTTGAATGTTATGTTCTTCAGTACTGTCTTCTATTGCTGCCTGATAGGTCCGAGGTGTGGGTGCCGGAGGCATCGTTTCCACCGCCTTTTGCCTGCTGTACAAACTGTTTACTCTCAAGTTGACAAGAAAGCAGGTAAATGGGCTACTCACCCATCCAGATTCGCCTTATATTCGAGGTCTGGGTTTTATGTACATCAGGTAAGTTGCTGATGCAAGTTAGATCGAGCTCATGTGGATGAGGAGACAGATATCTAGTCTTCGTTATTGGTGGTGCAGCTCAAGCTCCAAACATGTATTGTTTATATATATATTAGTATTTTCACTGCCTTTCTGACAAACATTGTTAGTGTATTGAACAGGAATTTTATAGAATCCTAAGTTTTACATGAACGCAGAAGTTTAGCCAACACACAACAGTGCTTTCATATTAGCTACGTGAATTTATACTATAATTTCCTGGAATGTAATGTGTGTATCCTGGTAGAAATCTGTCATTGTTTTAGAAGAATGAGGTTTGAGACACCACTGACTAGCAGTTGTGCAGGAATGGAACAGATGGGCTTATTGTACAGACATTTGAGTTTAAGTAAATGGGAATATTTCTCAATTCAGAATTAATGTATCGTGTAAAATGGTGTCCTAAACTACCTGCTGTGGGCTATATTGGAATTTGTGCATCACACCATAGTAGGAATTGTCCTTGTGAGTTTAGCAGTTCAAGAGGCAGTAACTGTGAAGTTTGGTGCCACTTCGAATATAATACTATATAGTCACCCAACGTTTCAGAAGTGTCCTTCGAGGTAGATGAATAAACCAAAGATAGAGGCAGAAGTTTCCTTCAAAGTATCTACTGTCTACTAGTCTATATGATGTGACATCTGAGAAGACAGAACTCTTTAAGAATGATCCAGTATTACAAGGGAAATTTGGAAAGTAAAGATACAAGTCCAGTAAAAATACAAGGGAATTTTTTTTTGCCCTCATAAATGGCAGTGCTGCCATGTGAGATAGGAAGCACATGACAGGGCAGAGTTCACCGGCCACAGTCACAGCAATGTTGTGCTCACAGTGTGTGTTTAAAATGGCCCTGTCGATTCAAAATCCCACCAGATGTGAGGTTAATGCAGTAATTTGATTTCTTCATGCGAAAGAAGAAACTGCCGCTGAAATTCATGGCCAACTTGTCTTTACAGCCAAGATGTTATGAATAGGCAAAACATGGCAAAATGGTGTTGTGAATTTGAAGTGGGAAGAAGTGATGTTCATGATGAAATAGGAAGTGGAAGGCCGTCAGTTGTCACTTATGAAATCATCCAAAAAAAAACTGATGAAAATATTCATGCTGACAGACATTTATCCATTGATGAACTTTGTCAAGAACTGTTCTCCATGAAATGACATGTCTAAGAAAGCAGGCGGGATATTTCTGCAACGCTGGACTAAAAAATATCATTCCCAGGCTCACTAAGTTCATTTCGATCTATGGTGATAGTTGAAAAGTAGATAAAAGTGTGTTGTAAAAGTGCTACAAGTGAATCCAAAAAAAAATGCTTAAATATTTTCTGGACTTTGTATCATTACTTTCTGAATATCCTTTGTATAGTCATGTTTTCATATGTACAGACAGCCTTTACATCCATAACGTTGTTAGGCATACTTAAATTCAAAGTGTGTTGCATTTATAGTCTGGCAATTGATCCGTCTGTAGTGCAACAGTTGGTTCACACTTGTTGCATTATAGATAGATCAGTTGGCAGACTATAAGTGGAATCTCAATGCAACAGGATGCTTAAATCTAATATCAAAGTGTGTCGTATGTAAATACAAATAAACGTACTGCTATTATGAATGGACAAAGTATTTTTGTAGTAACATGTAACACCTACTGGAGAGTGCTAATGTGTTTGATCATCTTTCAAGTGAATGTGTGTGAACTTCAGGCTCCTGCAATGAGATTTTTGTGTGATTGCTGTGATTGTACCTTCCAATAGATTACAGCTGATTCCTCAAATTATCTCCCCCCCCACCTGACCCATCATTTGTAATCAGCCAACCGTTGACCAATTTGGGTCTTGAGATGACACTTTTGAATTGTATTTCGGAAGTGCCCAGTTCAAACCTTGATTGAGGGTAGTCTTCGTTCCTCCTCAGTCCCTCCAGGAAAGTGTTGATATAGTATTTTTAATTAGATGATGACTACTTTATTCCAAATCTTGTCCAACTAATGGAATATTTCTGCTCATTTAATGCTGTATAGTCTTAGTGACATTATTGTTAAATGCAGACAAACACACATAGTCATTCTATGAATTCAATTTGATGTAACTTTATAAAATGATAATGAAATGGAAGCCCTGAGCTTGATGTACAATTCTGTCACAGATCTTTGATAAAGTCAGATTGATGTTAAATTTTATTCACACATATCATGTGCAGATAATCACATCACAGATCACACATTTGATCCTTTTATCCTGAGCTGCTTATAGTATAGAAGTAATATTGATTTTTCTTGTAATCTGAAGCCTCCAGACTTACTGCAATTTGTAGAGCTCTTAGCAGGAAGAGTAGGTTTTTGGATCGTGTGAATTTGGCCATGATATAGCTATTACATTGGTGTGTTGACAGGTACACACAGCCTCCAGCCGATCTCTGGGACTGGTATGATGCGTACTTAGAAGATCCTGAGGTATGTAATGCAGCCTGCCCCATTCCTGCTCACCCCACCTCATCCTTATATTTTTAGGTCTAAATTATGTAGCCGCTAGCATCACCAGAGTATCTCAGAGAATGTGAGGAATGGATTTCTGTTTTCGTAATATTGCCAGTAAAGATGATAAAAAAGTAATATCTCCCTGTGACTGTGTCAGACTTTTGTCAATGCAAGTTTAACCCTCCTGCTGTTGAGTCAAGTAAAAAGGTAAAACTCCCTGTAACAGGCCATGGAGGCCCATAGGGTTGTGAGATGTCAAGGCTCCCAAATTTTCTAGACATTCAGCTCACAGATGGCGGTGAGGTCACCCTTACGCACCAGCCACCCTTTACCCCCCTAGGAAGATTCCTGGTACTCATTTCTGTTAGAGGCTGAGTTGACCCCAGGACCATAGTGCGGCTTGAAGGATTAGGTCAACTGAAAAATCCAGTGGCCTCATTGGGAATCAAACCTGTGACCTTCCAGCATGTAGCATAGTGCCTCAAGAAACTACACTACCACATGCCCCTTTTGAATCTAATACTAAGGCTATTTTATGCCATTTCATAAATCAGTAGCCTAAGACATGCAGAAGATATTAAAAATTGTACTTGCCTTTGCATCTGTTAACATGTAGGAAACAAGGCTGGAACCATATGCCAAATTTGGTCATTATAGATGCAGGAGGACCTGTCTCTTTAAATCAGTCAGCCCACTGATAAGTGGAAGTGGTAAGAACTGAAACCATGTAACATCCATACACCTTGTTAATGGCAGAAAGTATATTACTGTCACATTCTTACTACAAAGCGTTACTGGCTGCAGGAAAAGTAATGCTTGAATTGTATCATGTTGCATTTAAAATTGCCAAGGCTTTAAAAAGAGAATTTCTTGTTATTGCATTTAATCTTTATGCATATAGCCATTAAAATTTTCCTTCCAACTCTATCCCAGACCTAAACCTGAAGGCAAGGCTCAGACACACTTGGTAAGTAAAAATGAATATTTCTGTTTCATTCTAATTCACATTGATTTTCTGTAGTTTTGGGAGCTGACTCATTGATTTCATTTGGAACAGCCGAGTTGTTTCTTACTGTACCTGAATGCATATTGATATGCCTGTTCATGATATTGAGACTCACGCTTCTAATCTAAATTGCATAATTTGCTATATTAGTCTTGAATAGGGAGTTACATGATACTTTAGCAGAAGTTTCATGTTTGGTGACTTTCCCACCATGAAATTACTCTGCTTCACATTGTGCAGTGTAGTGCATAGTGCTGGCATTATGTTGTTACTGCTCTGTTAACATCCTTAAACCGCTAAATGGGTGTTGTTAGTTTGAAATTTTATTTCATCATTTGATATAGAATGAATTTGGGAATGGCTTTTTTTTTTTTTTTTACTGTACTGAGGTTATGCAAAAGTCCATCAAGGTATAGTTAATCTTTGTGTCTGCATTTACAACATAATACTTTTTTTACATGACTTGTTCAGGAAACTGTTTCTGCACAAATAAATTAAATATTCAGTAATATCCAATTAATTTCAAAATTAATTACATGAAATAAACGCAATTGTTATGTGAGAAGATTTCTGGCAGAGAAAAAATGTGATCGTCAGTATATATTTCAAGCACAGTCACACCAAATTAGATGCTGTTATGCAAGAAGGAATGAAAGTCAAAATACTCCTCTTCAGATGCAGCAGTTTTTAGGAAATTGTGAAGTATAAAATTATGCTACATCCTTATCTTACAATTAAGAGTTGCAATCTGCAGTATATGATGTTTTTCATAATTAAAATGCATATTATTGAACCATGGCTTGCCACACAGAACCAAAAAATTCAAAATTTGTTGGTTGGTGCTCATTTCAAAAACTGTATCCGGTTGAGATACGTTTATGATTCACGTTTTGGATGTGATTTTTTTCAACCACAGGTGAGGAACTGGAAGTTTCATGCATGTAATGTTGATAAGGATGTTTTCTCAGCAGCTTTGCCAGAGTTATATGTTTGTGAATGTAATAGCCGTTCCGTGTTCCGACAGGATCCAAGGCCTGCTACGTGCTAAGACTTGCGGAGTGCAACTTTTGTGCTTCGAAGCTTGTTTGACTGCAAGTACTAAGACGTATTTTGTTCTTGATGCATCTCTTAGAGACTAAGTTTGGAGGAAACTTTGGTTTATTGGGCTCTTATACCATTTATACTATAAAATAATGAATTGAATCACATTTTGAGTTTGAGAAAATATCACTATTCACATGTGTGCAAAAGAGCCTGGTAAACTGAAGTGGAAACTATTTTATACTAAAGTGTTAAAGGAAACACATTCTAGACATGCCCCTGGCCATTGGTTTCCTCCTTATGGTGTACCTTGTTAATCTAATCGCTTCCTGCTTGTCCCAGACCAAGTCATTGCTGTTTGCTATGTGTACAAGGCAGCAGTGACTGTCATTCAGTAGTTTCAGTGATGTACATAACGAACAGTGGCTTTGTTTTCATATGTATTTGGTCCAACTAGGTAGAATGTTTGAGAAAGAATTATGTGTAACTCATAGCTTCAGACATATATCACACATTGGTTCAAATTTCATATGTAATATTATGTCTGATTAATTGAGAGATGTTTCAGATAATCATAAAATTAAATTATATGAATAAACCTAATGTGGGCGCCATAGCTCAAGCGTTTAGTTGCTGGCTTCCCATCGCGGCGGCCTGGGTTCAATCCCGGGTCTGGTCAAGTGGGATTTGTGGTGGACAAAGTGACGCTGGGGCAGGTTTTCTCCGAGTATTTTGGTTTCCCCCTCCAATCTTCATTCCACCAATTGCTCCACAATCACCCTCACCTATCATCTTGGGCTGGTACAATAGATCAGAAGTGGCCGCAGTACAAGGGGCTTAGTCCCACCCCACTAGCAATTAAAAAACCCAATGTGGAATTCAAAATTGAAACTTAATTTTACCCATTAAGCGCCTTCTGTTACAGCAGGTCTGTGCTTATCACAGTCTTCTTGTTATCTAGTATAGTTTTCTTTCTTTCTCTCCCCCCCCCTCCCATATATAATGTGAGTTCATATCTCATATCCATATTTTTTGTCCGGCATTGTAAAACATAGTTCATAGTCCTTTGTATTTGGGAGACTTTAAAATTTTTCAGAATTAATTGGCTGAAATGCAACATGAGCGTTTGTGAGTGAGTCTAATGAAAATCATCTGAGAGCATTGCACATTTTAATCTATTCAAAACTATTATCATTTTGAAGAAAGCAGTCTTCTGGGATTTGGCACCGTGTATATGTGGTGTTAACCGACGTTTCGGAGGAACGTATCGCCCCCATCTTCAGGGTTGAAGAAAAAGTATAAGTAAATCTGCAAGCGACAACACCGTGAGACACGGTAAAGCAGACTTTCACCACACATGTTCTTAGCAGATTTGTGTGTTTCTTAAGAATGTTTAACCAAGAAGATTTTGTCTTCTGGGATATATTTCCATTAGTCCATTGAAAGTCTCACCTGATATTTTGGAGGAACAAAATATTGGATCACTTTCAATGGACTACAAGGTGTTATATCCCGGAAGATAGAACTCATCATAACCACTGTTGTGAGAACCTCAGATCTTACATGTTTAACAATGTTTGTTATTGTTTTGTAGCTGTTATAAGTAGCTTACAAAGTTGGTTAAACAACCTTGAAGATTTCAGAATTCTACCAGAACATGTGTGATAAAAATGATCATTGTGTTGACTAGATTAAAACCTGCAGCTGTACCACAGGGTTTTGTTAAACTCACTTGGGACTGAAAGATACGGTATTAATTATGACATCTTTTAAAACTGTGCAAATTCAGTATTACCCCTGCTAATAAAATTCTCCCAAAACTACACCTCAGCTGTCTAACAGATACTAATATCTGGCAGTGTTTATTTTGTGCTCTTTGATGTAGGAATTAAATCTTTAATGTAGTTCAGATTTATTTCGTAAAATTTGTAAATGAAAGAAATGGAACTTTTAAAGCCAGATGGGTACTTGAGTGTTAGTAGCTGGGGTTTTAGCTAATAGATCTTTGTTCTGATATACAGCAGTGTTGAAACAAATGGTGTCTGTAGAAGCCAGAAAATCTCAGTCGTATGTGTAATATATTGTCATTGTCATATAAGAATTGGACTAAATTTGTTAAAGCCTTGTGTCCTGCACATTAAAGTAAGAACTCAGACACACATAGAAATAAATTGAGGAACATATTGGTACATAAGATTTTTGTTGAAATTTGCAACATTTTATTTTTACAATTTAATTTTTGTTAAAGATTTCACACTTTGCGATTTTCAGTGACTCGCTCTATGTATATCAGTAACTTGAATCAGAAGAAGCTCTTACTTCCATAGAATATGACCCCCCCTACATATATCCTCTTTCGTATAATTACAATTCCCTGAAATTGTAGATGTCCAGATCTTTCACCTTTTCTCCAAAAATTCTGGGTATTGTACAGCTTTTTTTTTTTGTACCATGTGACTTCCGTTGTACTGTTTATGACATTACTAACATGAGGCTGTGATTGTGTTGCCTCAAGAAAACTGTAATGGATTTCACAGTTCTCTGATGTCATATATATAGCTGGGTAAAAAAATGGTAAAGTTGTCCCTGTGCTTAAATAATTAAGCACTACCCCATGAGGATGTATGGGGAATGGGTGTATAGATCCATATTTTCTTGATCTCTGCACTAGTTGGAGGTGAGTGGTCAGCTTCATGCTCCAGCTGTTTTACTCCTGGGGAAAGAGCTCCTGGTACCCATTCGATATGAGGCTGGGTGGCCCCCAGGGCCAGTGTGGACATGGAGAGAGAAAATTCTTGGCCTGCTTGGACTTGAACTCCAACCCATCAGTTGTGTAGCTCATAGCCATTTAGTATACTGATTATGCTATCCCAAGTTGAGTAAATGATAAAAGTGGAAAGAAAAAATAAAATTTGTTTTGTTCTTATCAGTAGCTTACATGATTGAAGATGTTGCTGCAACATTAGTTGGCAGAGTCCGCTGTAGATATTTTTTTCTGTGTGTGTCTGAACAGATAGCTGCTTTTGAAGTTTTAACTTGTGGCATTACATGCCACAAACCCATGGATATGTTGCACAGTACTGTATTCATATGGCCGTCCTGATATACACTGCTGTATACTAGTGTGCATCTCACTTACCTTGACTATGTATATAGTATTTCACAGACAATTATGTTTCATTTATTTCATTGCAGGAAATGGATGTGAAGGCTGGAGGTGGTCAGGTGATGACAATTGGTGAAATGCTTCGTGCATTCCTAACCAAACTAGAGTGGTTCTCCTCGCTGTTTCCTCGGATACCCGTCCCGATTCAGCAGAAGCTAGAGAAAAAACTGAATGAGCGCTTCCCGCCAGTGGTTGCTCCGTTGCGCCAGCCAAAACCCGTGTTGCAGCAGCCACAGCCAGCTAAGGAGGCTCGTCACATTCCAGATGAAGAAGTGTCATTTGGTGAAGCTGAACGTTTCTCTCGCTTGCGCAGAGCAGATGGAGTAGGAGGCACAAATGCGGCATTACCAGGCCGTGGTGCAGAGAGAGATCGTCGGCGAACTCCAGACAGAGATCTTAGGAGAGGTCACAGTTCAGAAGTGTCTCATAGTCGTGGTTATAGCAAAGAGAAGAGGGCTTACAGCAAGGATAAGAGTCCAGCCCAATGCAAGAGCCCTGTCCGACATAAGAGTCGAGACAGAAGTCCAGTTCGCTATAGAGAGAGGAGCAGAGGAAGAAGTCCAGCACGCAGAGACAGAAGCCCACGTCATAAAGACAGAGAATACAGACAGAAGTCAAGAGACCGCAAGGATAGGTAGGTAAAGTATCTCGCTTGTTTATCCAGTTATGGAAGTCATACTGCCAAAACAGTGACATTGTCATACAATTACATGTGTTCAAGAAGCTGATATATATAGAAGATTCTGACTTTCTGGGCTTTGATGCCATGTAGTCTGGTAGATTGCTGTTAATGCTGGGGGAGGGGGAACCTACTCACTTCACCGGTAGGGTAGGAGTGTGTAGGGTGATGAATTGGCTCACTTGTCCAGGCAGTTTGAGAAGAATGTGGTCACTGGAACCCACTAGTGGGGGGGGTTATCAAATGGGACCCAGTCTGGACCACAGGGAACAGCAGGTGAGAAAACTGCCCTTTAAGTGGCATGCTATATTTTCTATTGCAGGAAGGAAATGGAATTATGAGAGGGCCAACTTTCAGCAACATTCCATTTCCTTTCTATGACAAAAGGTTCATACATAGTCTTTACAGTGCCCTGAATGTGCTCCATTCCCTTATACTGTTCCATGAGCCTGAGTGACCACTTCTTTGCAAGGTGCCTATATTGTTGGGCCTGTATCTCTCCTTGCACATTTCAACCCTGAAGACTGAGGGAGCACATTCCTCCAAAACATCAGTGTCTGCCCACAAGACTACATGGTGTCACAATGCAGAAGAGCACAGTGTGATTTATCACTGCCATAAAAACCTCAAAACATGTATTTCTTCACATAGACATTTTCCCCACTTCACATGTTAGACTCATATCCTGGTCCTTACAGTTCCAGATTGAGAGTGATAAGTCCAGTTCTTGTTTAAAATGACTTGAAGTTTGTTTCCATAACTTACATAGTTTTCCAAACATTGTTTTGTATAACCTCTGCTTTGTCCAAGAGAAGGAGCATTAATTTTGAAGGTTTCTTGGTTTGTGGAACACTTTGCTGGGGTATGTGTACCTCATGCGCAGCTCATAACATTCACTGTTAGGAAGCTCTCACTACTGTCAGATGTGCTGTATCAGTAGCTCACATACCAATGCATTGTGTGGTGTGTAACTATAAACTTAACACTTTGCAGACTGGTCGCATAATATTATGCTTTTCGCTTTTAAACGTGGTGGACCCATTGCATAATATTATGATTTTAGGACACGTTATGTTGCAACACGCTATACCTTGCTCTGGCGCCATGCAGATGCATAACTGATGCGTAATAGACCTCCTGAATGTTTGCTTAGTAGTCAGTAACATGACCTGGCTGTTTTCCTATCCCACTCCAAAGGAAAATGCCTTTGTCTTCAAGCTGTATATACCAGGCAGTAAGTTAGAAGTGCAATATGGATCAAGGACGAAATCAGTTGAAGATCAAGCGATCTCTCAGAGAACAAGAAATATCTGACTTGTTCTCCGATGAGCTATCGGACGTGCCTTGTGAGACATGTAGTGATGGTGACTCAGACAGTGGCAGTGACTGGGGACAACAAAGAATAGTGGCCAGGGACAGTAAAAGTGACAGTAGCTCTGACGAAAATACGGGTAGTAACATTGCGGGGACAGCCACATGGGGAAAAGTAGGCAAAACGCCTACTTTGGGACAGTTTACTGGAAATCTGGGGTTGAAACAAATTCCATCGGACCCAACACAAGTGTCTCAAGTAGCAGAACTGTTTTTTGGAGATATTGACATGTTATGTCAGGAAACTAACAGATACTATCCTCAACACCGTGAAGAGTATGACAGAAGTTATATAAGGTGGTGAAGCGGGTGGATGTCACTTCAGCAGAAATGAAAAAAATTTTGCAGTAATCTTTCTAATGGGCCATACAAGGAGGGATAATCTAAAAGAGTATTGGTCAACAGATCCATTTTTAGAAATTCCCATTTTCAGCAAACTAATGAGCCGTAAGAGATTTGAACAAATTTGGTGGTGTTTACATTTCAATAATAATGAACTGCAACCACAGTCAACAAGCAGGCTTTTCAAAATTCAGCCCTTATTAAACTTTTTCATTCAGAAATTTCAGGCAGTTTATAAGCCAAACCAACAACTGTCTTTGGACATATCTGTGATTCCTTGGAGGGGAAGCCTTCGTATGTGAACATATAATCCTGGGAAACTTACAAAGTATGGTGTACTTGTTCATGTAGTTACTGAAAGCACTTCAGGCTATATTGGAAATTTAGAAAGTTATTCTGGCGAAGGAAAGAAATTACAAGAAACTGTTGTTTCCATTCTGGAACCCTATCTTGATCAAAATTACCATGTCTATGAAGACAATTATTATAACAGTGTGGTAACTGCAGAATACATTCTTTCAAGAAAAGTACGTGTTTGTGGAACAGTTAGGGTGAACAGAGGCCTTCCTCCAGATCTGAAAGAGGAATGTAAATCCCTGAAACATTGTGAAACCAAATTCAAGAGGAAGGGGGATATTCTTCTTCAGTCCTGGAGAGATACTCATGTTGTGAATATGATTTCCACAATTCACAATTCGAGCATGGTTGATGTTCAAAGGAGACATGGACAAGTAAAGAAGCCTATTTGTATTTCTGAGTATAATATGTTCATGAAGGGAGTTGATAGAGCCGATCAGTACTTGGCCTATTATTCTCTTCCTAGGAAAACAATAAGGTGGACAAAGAAAGTTGCCTTGTGGCTTATAAATTGTGCCATTTTCAATTCATTTTTGGTTTACAAAAATCTAAACCCTGATTCGAAATTCATATACAAAGCATTTCTGATGAATGTGGCAAAGGCCTGGGCTACAGACCAGATGGTGACGGCAGAACCAGAGTCAGACACATACTTAGTGTAACTGGGCCCATCAACTCCCACCCCACGCAGGCCTCACGTGGACCCCCCTGAGGGACTCTGAGGTGATATGCGGAAACACCCTCTTGAAAATTGTGAAGCGTGAACGTTCCAAGGGGAAGCATCCTTCTAGGCAATGCCATGTATGCACAGTTCACAAAAAAAGGAGTATGACTGTCTACATTTGCAAGTTCTGTGTCACAAAGGGGAATGTTTCCAGAAATAGCACACTCTCAAGCACTTCTAGGAGCATTGGTAAGTGTTCTCCAAAAATTTTAGTTCATAAAATTAATTAGGAAATTTTATATTAATTTTTAAAGTGAACAGTGCATAAGTTAGGGTAGTAGGTTTAAAAATGCCGGTCCCCAGGGTAATTTAAATATTTAAATTGCCGGTCCACAAAGTGTTAAGAATCAGTGAAGAATATATGTACATTACTGCCAAGTTGGATGGACACCTTATCTAATCAGATATAGAACAGTGAATTCCAAACTGTATTCGATGAATTCTTAGGCGATAATCTTCACAAGTGACAGATTTTATTATGAATTCTAATATAGTTCAAAAAATGCTTTCCCTTGAACTCACTGGGGGCTTTTTTGATTGAAGAATGTTCAAGAGCTAAACTATGCAATGTGCAGGCCACAGTATTTCTATGAAACTGTATTTGTAGATATAGTATATATCTATCTATCAGGTACCTGGAAATTTATGCCTATGGATTCCACCTTGCAGTTTCTTGATGGGTATTGAGATGAAAATACTCCTGATAAAAGTCTTACCCAAATGCTGTTATGGGGAACACATATCACTTTGCCATATATTCCTGAGCTCTGTAGTAAATGTAGGTGACTGGTCATCTTCGCAGCCTATCCAGTGTACCTATCCCGGGAGAGAGCATCTGGTACATATTGTATGGGACGCTTGGTGCAGCCTGTAGTTGGTCTTGGTGCTATGGAGAAGAGAAGAAGTCTCTTTTCCATGTAGGGGATCAAATCCCTGTTCCTCAGTTGTTCGGCCGTGAGCCTAGTCACTATACCACCTGAGCTGTCCAGGCACAAAGTTAGTGTTGTGACCTCAGTTTGGGGATTCCTGGCTTTATATTGAGCATTGTTTGAGAGCAGTAAGAAGGTCAGGGAGTGGGCTGTGCTTATTAGAGCTCATGCGTATTTCAGCTCAGGACACAGACACAGAACACCAGATGATTTCGCAGATGAGCTTAGGCGAGAAAAAGAGCGCCAGAAACGGGAGAAAGATAGAGATAAGGAACGAGAAAAGGACAGATTCAAATCCAAGTAAGTGAATATGAAGAAGCAGAATTTCGTTATATTTCTGGAGGAGTATTTCATATAACTTCCAGATTATCAAGTGTTTCCCTGAGGTGGGATCACATTCCTGTTGTCCATTTATGTCCCGGGATAAATTCACTCTTATTATGATTTCCCTTGGTGTTGAAACCAGATGTTCACCAAAGGAATATGTTCACTTTAATTGAAATATTTGTGACAGACTAATGACATGTAAGAAGATAAGCTTTACCACAGAATGTAATTAAAAAATAATAGTGAATACACAGTGAGGATGGTCATTATGTTCATCTTGGAATATAAATGGATAATTGCGAAGAGAATAGGTGGTTTGGCACATGTGTTGTCCATGACACAACCAGTCTTGTTTGAGGTAATCAGCCTTTCTTATGACTGTGATACATGTTCATCCCCCATGATATGAGGGAGAAAGTGGTTCATAATTTGTTCGTTGTTTGCATGTTTGATTGAGTGATATATACAGGGTGTTTCACGACTTTAGGGCATAAGTGCAGGAGGTGATTTCCTATGTCTTTGTGATCAAAAAAGTTCATATAAACATATGTCCGATTTTGGACAGTTAATGGAGTTATGACCATTTTAAACTTGGAATAGAAGGTAACGATTACCGACAATAAACGGAACAAAATAATAAACCAGCAGAATACATGATACATTTAAAGTATGAATGTAAAGTTAACTTCGTGAAATTACCTTTAATTTGAATTTATTGATGCTTAAAGATGATTTTCGAAAATGCCACCGCCGGCCGCAACGCAGGCTGCCGCTCGGTTGTGAACTGCGCCGGACATACCAACCCTCCCCGCCTTAGGTGCATCTCAAGTGTTGAGATAATGAGAGCGCTCTGTCTGTAGCTGGCTAAAAATAGCGACCTGCCACTGGACAGACGCGGTTCACACGAGGGCGTGTATGGGAATGAAAAAACGGTCATAACACTGTAGCCGTCCAAAATCGGACACATGTTTATATGAACTTTTTTGATCACAAAGGCCTAGGAAATCACCTCCTGCAGTTATGCCCTAAAGTCGTGAAACACCCTGTATCTCAAACCACCTGGTCATTTAATCCATTGATTTATTTTTGTGGCTTCATAATTCTCCTTTTATCTCGTATTTTTAGAGTTAATTTTAGGAACTAACTTGCAGAGAAATTATGACATTTTATAAACGTCCTCCCCTCCTCCTCTTGGCAGTATCTCCATTTTTTTCAGGTCAATGGACAGAAACTCTCTTTTCCATTTTTTATTTTTTTTTCAACTGTTTCCTCCTCGTGTCTCCTCTATAACCTAATCCATTCCTTTAAATTTTAATTCTGATAACTTTCTTGGCACTGTTATGCTATCCATTCTTTTAACAAGACCAAATTGTTATAACCTTAATCATTTGGAACACTAAAATGCAAAATTTCAATGTCAGATTATTGCAGAATTTGTCATTGAAGTTAAGTAACTTTCCTATCTTTCCAGTTAATTTCATTTGCTTTCTTTTTCAGGCACAGACACAACAGGAGCTGAGGCATAGTTGCTTGCATAGCACAGTTTTAAGTATCAGGACAAGATGGTGATTTATGGCCTTTCATTTTATTTGATGCCAGAAAACATATTAAATTTGTTGAGCTGAAATTAACATAAAGCCATAGTAAGAAAATAAAATGACAGAATTTCAAAATAAGTTTTAAGCAATGCATTCCTTACCCCATAGATTTTTTTTTTGTGGTCAGTTGAATTTTTTTAAAATTTCATCTCATAAGTCAAGGTATGGAATATCTGTACCTTGGGAGGCTAGAGAACTGCATGGAGGTATAACTTACGAGTGAGAGAAAGTGTCTGAGGCGTAGCCATGAACCGAACTGATGCTATGGAAACATGTAAGTCTTCCACTGGTACATAGTGCAGACTGTAAGATAGTCCTGTAGAGCTGAGGCAGGTCTGAATTATCTTCTACATGCAGAATATTCAGGAGACGAAGGGATATGAACATTCCTTAGTCTTCATTTTAGTAAGGGCTCTACTCTTTATTGAGAAGTTTATGTTAGTGTTTTCTTGTAACATGTTTAGAATTAGAACTGTAGTACTTCGAATTACCAGCATTGGTTTCTGCTTTGTTTCATGAGATGGACAAGACAAGCCAATTTTATTTCAAACTGAATTATGTAGCATGAGTTCCAAACATAATGATATTTCAGTTCTTTGTTATGTAAGTTAATATCTAAAGGCAGAATGCTTAACATTTCTTTTTCACAGTAAATGTGTAGTGAATTTATACATATTGTAATGTGTTTGGCTACTGAAGACGCCGTTCAGATTGTTAATTTGTTTTTATCAACAATCTACATGTCGTAACTACAACTGATTATAACACTTGCTGATTTACACAATTTACAAACCCTACACACTAATCTCTTCACTCTTATCTTCAGTAGTCTTCACTTATTTACAGTATAACACGGGAGTTGAACAAGTGTCACTAAATACACACTCCCAGTACACAGTGCCTTCTCAGTTATCACAACTATCACTGATTATCACACATAAAATATTCTAATCATGCATTCAGTTCTTCCCGCGGCTGTCTTGCACTCACTCCGAGAACTGACCGACTGGCTTCTCTTCTGCCGAATACTCATTCCTTAGTCAAAGTCACATTGCGACTGACGATCAGTTAGTAAGTCTTGGTGTCGAGCCCCATCTGGGGTCATGACCAGGTATTAATTATTACCGTTTGATAGTTACGGTCTTATTTCTGTGGGGCACCCTCTGTGATGAGAGGATGGGTGTGTCTTTTGTATTTGCTGCTGGCCCTTGCCAGCGCAGAGTCAGATTTGAGACTTCCCTTTTTGTCGCCTCCTACAACTTGCAGGGTCATGGTGGAGGTATTCAACCCTGCCTCCACACGGGGTTCATTCCCTAGTTATTCCAGTTTCTCTTATAAACCCTCAGTCGGACAGGCGGAAAACTCAGCTTGCTTCACAGTTGTGTGACCGCCGTGTTTACGGAGGCATTTGCTTGGCAGTGCTGCTGAGTTTTTTACTGCTGCATAGCAACCAGTGCGGTTTGGCTCAGCTCAGCACAGCACGGCACAGAGAAACGCCGCTTTCTTTAGTGTTGCATAACTTTGTTCCACTGTTGCGTAACTTGGCAACCTACCATTTGTCAGGAGTCTGTCTCATTGGTAACTTGTTCCACATCCCATTGCCCAACAGCGGTTTGACATGTCACAATATATTTGGTAAAACACTTATCAACTGGATGAAGAAGTTGTGGGATTATCAGCATAGAATCACAGGCACCAAGATTAAGAATGTATATTGATGTGTAATGATTTCAATGAAAATGTGTCTTGTAGCACCATTTTCATTTTGAGTTGTTTTGCTGTTGAAAAATTGTATCCAACTTGCCATGGATACATGAAAACAGCAGGTGCTGTTTTTTTAAAAATACAACTTCACGTGGAAAGGTTTAAGCTGTAGGTCATCTTGGTGGTCATTATTCTTACTGTTCATTAAAGGTAGTGCAGTATGCCTCATGGGTTCTCCTACCCTCAGAAATGTAATGTTTGACTTTCATGGCATTCAGAAAGTCAGTAGGAAACCAAAAGTATGTTATATGGTAGTCCCATTCTTGGATTTTACCCCAAGGTTGAAATATAGAGTGCATCAGCAGATGCTCAACTTCTGACTTTTAAGAAGTTGTTGGTACACATCACTTTCCACTGGTATGCATACTGGTGCATACCAGTGAAAAGTGAGAGCACTGGTAGGATATTAGTGAAAGTATTTGCCATGAACAATGACAGGCTTTAAGTACATAGATCTATAGGGCAAGGTAACTACTTTCATGTTGCAACTGTTGGTGGCATCAAATGAAATAAATTGTCCAAATATTCAGCATTGTTAGCCTGGACTGTATAACATCTGCATGTGAAAAATGGTTATGGATTGTTCATTCTGAGTCTTGCCTCAGGTTCAAGGAGTGTAACATTGTTAACAGATACTCCAACAGACAGTGAATTGTTTTTATCATGTGGTGGGTAAGTGAGTGTGTGTTAATTTGATATGCATAAGAGTGAAACAAGTCCATTGCATAGCAAATCAATAAAAATAAAAGTATAGCGAACATGTGCATGGAACTCTTCCATTCTCATGGACATTTTTCATGTCATATTTAATACATTTTTGTGTGCAAATCATAGAGTGGTTGAATTGTGAGTGTTAGCTATTTAAAATGAAAAGAAAGTGTTAAAATGTTTTAGAATAAGTTTTGTCAGAACTGTTTTGTATTGACCAAAATTTAAACGAGCATTGTGTATATCATATTCCGTCTGTATTGTGAGACCAACTTTAAGATGATGGTTAGTTGGAAAGTGTAAAACCTTAATGTGAGTTTTGTGCTGTCGATTATATACAGTGTTTATTGCTCTCAGCTGATAAAGTATAAGTCAGTCTCAGAAAATGAAAATTGTATGTTCTGAATGTAACAAGGACATTGGTTAGTTGGTTAGTTTACTTGAAAATTATAAAAAATATTGTAATATGGAATGAATGTTGCAGAAGAAGGTTATGAATTTGTCCCAGTATTATTACAGAGAATATTTCTCTCCATGCTTTACATACCAAACACATCAGCTTGAAATCATGCAAACTATAAATAAATAAAATGCATAGAAGAGAATAAGATTGCCATCTGTTGGTGACAAGACAATATAAGTACAGACTTAAATGTGAACTTTAAAAATGTTTTGGAGATGTGGCACTGCTGTTTGGACAGAGCGGCTGACCACATCTCAGAGGCAGTGTTAGTTGATAGTGGGTTAACATGGAAGAGGGATGGTAATGTATGACTATTGAATATTGTTAAAAACTTGCTTTAATGGAAGTCACGGTAGCATGGAAACTTAGGTTTGTTGTGAATGTGGATTAAAGATATTTGCAGGAAATGAAATGTCATTAACTGGCTGAAGGAGAAATATTTTTTCTGTGTGTGTATCTTAAGAATGGAATTAGTTATAGGAAAATATAGATTTGACCAGTAATATTTTTATCTTAACATTTATTTTGCATGCATTATATTTTATACAAGTTAGATGTACTGGTCAGAGTTCCTGGCTACAGGTCCAGAGGTCCTGGGTTCGATTCCCGCGCTACCAGATTTTCTGAGAAGTTGTCTGTAATGGGGTTCACTCAGCCTCATGAGGATAATTGAGGAGCTATTTCAAGGAAATAGCTGCTCCGGTATAGAGAATCGAAATTAATGGCCGTGGGGATCCATTGCACTGATCACATGACACCCTAACTTCAGCGACAAGCAGCAGTCGCTCGGTATAGTTCGCTTGTGGACTACAGGCCAAGGAGTTCTTGTTTGTCTATTCTCCAGTGAGTAAAATATTTATAGAATCCTGATGTGTATTGGTGATAGTCCTCATTACTGAACGTGCTTAACTAAGCACCTCACCATGAAGGTGTATGGGGAAATGATGTAGTGCCATGCATTCTTAATCTCAGCACTAGGCGAAAGCGAGTGGTGAGCTTTACAGCCTGGCTGCTTTGGCCCTGAGGAGCGAGCCCCAGGTACCCATGAGATAGGAAGCTGGGTGGACCCCAGGACACTATAACGGGTTATAATAATTCTCGTGTTTTCATTATGGCTGAATTATATATGTTTTAGAATTGACATTTTGTTACTTGTTTCTTCCTTTAAATAGGCTGTAGATTTTTTTCTGGGTTTGTACAAAGTTAATAACTCAAGATAGAGTTGGTGTGCAAATGGTATTGCCATTTTGTTCACAGAAGAGAACTTTCATAATGTAGGGATCACTTTCTATTGTCCTTGTTGCAGGAATTCAATTTTCATAGATAACATATGCTCAGTGCATATGCATAAGCTCTTGAATTTTATGTCATAATCTGTAAATTCAGACTTAAAAAGAGTCTTAATTCATCATCATTGCAGGAGAATCTCCAGAAGTTGGTCCAGAGTGTGATTTTAGGTTTCCTTAAGACTTGATGTTAACTGTGTGATTGATGGTTTTGATCTGCAAATGGTATGGGTAGATTCTCAGGCATCATTATATATACACATATTGCAGAGGGGATGTGGGGGTGAGCCGTTGTTTTCATGTATTCAGTTTAAACACACTTGTTTACAGTTTACATTATGTTACATGTATGATGTTTTATTAAACAGTTGAACCAGTATCATATCCTTACAGGGTATTGTTAAATAAACATTCAGTAGCTTAATTGGAGAAACTTATGATGTAATCCATTAATGGGAAATATTGCGGCTAACCAGATGGTTAACAGTTTAAAATTCTCAGGACCAGTTTCCCATGTTATTAAAGGAGTTTTTGCATTGAGATGTTCAAGTCTATAGCAGACCCTAAACACACACACTGTTATCTGTGAGTCTGAACTATAATGAAGATGTCTGCTGTAGATCAGAAGTATTATCAGCACTAACATGTAAACAGAGCCAGAAGTTAGACAGCAGATGTAGTATGCTATAGTTTAAACTCTGTATTGTTAATGGGTGATAGCCTCTGAGACTTCCCAATCTGAACAAAAATCTTTTGGCTTGGCCGAAAACCAACCAGTTTTCTTATCAACAGGGACATTACGTATTCATATGAGGAAAAGTA